TTTATAAAAAAATTGAACAGCTAGTACAAAAAATTCCTATTTATCCCCTCTCACTGAACATTTTCCATTATTAGCTTCTTGCATTAGTGTGCTACATTATCATGAACCGAAGTCAATACATTATCATTGCACAGTGAGCCAATATTAGTACATTATTAACTCAAGTCCATAGTTAACATTAGGGTCCACTCTTTGTGGTGTACAGTTCTATGGGTTTTGACAAATGCATAATGTGATGTATGCACCATTATGGTGTCACACAGCATCGTTTCACCATGCTACAAATCCATTTTTCTCTACCTGTTCAGTCCTGACCCCCTTTTCCTGAACTCCTGGCAAACGCTAATCTTTTTATTGTCTCTATAGTTCTGACTTTTCCGGAATGCTATATCGTTGGAATCATACAGTATATAGCCATTTCAGGCGGGTTTCCTTCACTTAGCAATATTCATTTAATGTTTCTTTGTGTCTTTTTGTGGATTGAAAGTTCATTTCTTTTTATTACTGAATAGTTTTCCATTGTGTGGATATATCACAGCTTGTTTATCCATTAACCTCTTGAGGGACATCTCGGTTGCTTCCAGTTTTTGGTAATTATGAATAAATTACTGCTGTAAACATTCATGTGCAGGGTTCGTGCACTGGAACATATAGTAAAACTGTGTTTAACGTTGTAGAAACTGTCAAACTGTCTTCCAAAGTGGCTGAACCATTCTGTACCCCCACCAGCAATGGATGCAAGTTCCTGCTGCTCCCCATTCTCACCAGCGTTTGGTGGTGTCAGTGTTTGGAATTTGGCCATTCTAATGCTAGGTGGCAAGTGTTATGGTTCCATTTTATGGATGAGGAAGCCAAAGCCTGGAAAGAAGTGACTGTAAGATGTGAACTCAGGTCTTCTGACTTTTAGCAGAAGTTCTCCATTAATACAAAAAAAGCAAAGCAAAACAAACAGAAAACCAAATAATTGTTAAAAGTAGAAGATGATTCACGGTGAGGTATCTTCTGGGAAGCAGCTGTGAAGAGGTTGAGTACACAGTCTTCTGGGGAAATCCTATTTCCCAGGAAATCGAGTTAGCCAGAGCATCCTGTTCCTGTTTTTTCTATCCCGTTGTTTCTTGAGTGTCGCTAACAGAAAGGGGACTCTGGGGGCTTACGCCGCCTCCTCAGACTGAAGGGAGAAGGGAAGGCCGTTTCTTGTGCGATCCCTTTCTTTGCCTCTTCCTGCTGTGCCCTCCAGATCCCCAGGGTCCCTGGGTGCCAGCCCCGGATGAGACACTGCTGCTCATTCATCCTCTTGCTGCCCCTCCCCACCAGACACTGCTTCCTGGGAGGATTTCTGAATGGGATTTCTGTGGAAGGTTCCGGGTGGGCAAAGAAGCAGCCCACTTCAGAAAGAAGGGATCTAGATTATTATAAAAGCCTACAGTGCCCAGGAGGGTGAGAGATGGAGAGATAGGGGCTGACTACTTTCTGCCTTGATTCATCTCTGAGGATTCCTGATCTGTTCCTCAGGTCACCTAGAGTACGCATCACTGCACTGCTGTTGTCTTTCCTTTCAAAATCCACGCTCGTCTACTTTTGGCTTTATGAGTTGTAAGGACGTTCTTATTTCACAGCACAGAATTTTACTTTCTTACCTCCTCCTGTTCTTTTCACTCTTTTCCCTCCTCCAAATGTCAGTTTTTTTGTCAAACAAAGATAAATGTGGGAAGGCCAGATGTGTCTCTGGGCCACCGAGATGTTGGTGCTGCTGTGTCTGACTCT